GACTTGTATCGCTTGAGTTTCATCCGAAAGAAATTATACGGGAAATTAACAAACGACCAGATACGCAACAATATTAATGGATTGTACAACTTGTTCACTGTTTTTTGTACTTTCTGTGATAATGTTTTGTACCATTAATAAATTCATCTTCTGATTGTATTTACTCGTTCTTTGTGACTCCAGTATGTGTCTCATTACGTGATTCTATAATTATTTCCGTTAGTGTTTATATATATATTATAATAATCTATGAAACTTTGTTTGTTTTCCTTTGAATTTCTCCAAAACTTACTCAAGTTACGTCCTAATTTAGCAATAATAGACTAGAGGGAAGAAAGCTAGTCAACACCGCCAACTCTTGGGACACTCTTTTACCAGCGAATAGTGGGATTCACTGTCATATTATCACGTCTTGATGGCTGAAACAGCGAGAATGTTCGGTGAGAGAGATTTGAACCCGATTGCGAGTCGAGTCACGAAAGTGTTTTTGTCACTATATGTATATCTAATGTACAAGTAGAATAAAAATAGATGAAGGCTAAATTTCCCCACTCTATCCAAAAAAATATTGATCCCGAATTTCCTTTATATTTACATTTAGTCTTTTTTATATACATTGAATATTTCTGATCTAGCATACTATGAGGATAAAAAGAAATACACATCTAATTTCTTTCGCAAATTATGCTTATTAAAGTGTATTGAAATAATGCATTAAATAAGCCATAAATGATTTTTTTTCTGATAAATCAGATATAATCTTTCTTTTCATAAAATGTGCACTTCATTAAACTGAATTACATTAAATCATTAATTATGTGTGGTTGTCAGTTTACATTTATGTCATTAAGAAGGTCGTTCACACTGATGTGCTTCATATTGTAAGTTCCAAATCAGGGGAAAAGACGGTATTACTTCTGAGCCATTAGGTAAAGACAACTGCTTGTATTGTGATTATAATGTTATGTCGGAAATACATTATATTAGAGACACTATTCAAGGTATGACACTAAAAATACACGATAAGATTGATCTTTAAAACATTTTTAATACGTGGAGATCGCTTACATAAAACATGTGCAAACATTGTTAGTATCTAGCACAACTGAGCTAAAGATTGAAATTTACTACACTTGCTTTTGACATAGAAGAGCAGAGGACAATATCGAACAACAATGGCATATTTGTATTCTCTTAAGGATTTTTTTGTATCTACTTCTCCATAGTAAAAATGAGCTTCTAATTGATACAACGTGAAAGTAATTATGAAATGAATTAAAAGTAGCCAAAGCAGGAAAAAGTTTTAGTTTGATCAAATCTTTAATTCATAAAATTTAACTATTCTTCTAGTGAGTGTTAAAAATATTTCCCCTTTGTAAGTAAAACCTGGTTAGTTTGTCTAATTAACAATGCACTATTTATAATCTATACATGGTAAACAGAATAATTTGTGAAAAAATTATATTAACAACGTTAGATGGAGCTTTTTATATTACAGACCATGAGTGCAGATGCTCGTGTATTGTAATGTTAGTGGAAAATTGAATACTTGGAAGTTTGAAACATATTTTTCCTAGATTCATTAATTACTTTACTTGAATACTGTAACGATTATTAGGTATTTGTAGAAAAGTTATCAAGTAAAAATTATATCAGGGCAATGATTCTCATTTCTGCTGATAATTGAAACAACAACTCTGATTAATTTGATTTTCAAGATAAATACACACTTAAATCTTTTTTATAAAACACTGAAATTTCAACATAGTATTGCGACAAACAATAAACAGACGCATTGAGATGAATAATTTGTGTATTGAACATTGTATGGAACTTAACTTTGACGAGTATAATTTTTTAATACCACACGAAGAATTATCAAACAATAACGAATAGTTTCTTCAGATGTTTTACAACGTATAAAACTAAATCATGTTTCATGTTTACTGCATATATATATATATATAAATTTATTGATTTTATATTCCTCAATTTACAAAATAACGAGAGTGACTTTCAACGAAGTTGAGAAAAAATAACTAATTTAGAATAATAGACACGAGATGATATTTTAAGTTATTTAATTATCATTTTAGTCTTTTTTAGTGGGTTTTTTACTGGTTACTTTAGAGAAAAACCACATTGGGCTATTTGCTCAATCCACCGCGGGGAATCGAATCCCGGATTTTAGCAATTTAAATTCTTAAACTTATTGTTGCCCTACCGAGGAACATTTTTAGAGGGTATAACAATGACAAATTTTAAATAATAACTAGCTTTTGCAGTGAATTGAAAAATCTAAATACAGAAAACAAGTGATTTCTGTATCTACGACGAATGAAATAAACTGCAAAGTGAAGCTCAAGTTTTGCTCTTTTGTTATACAAACACAATGTCTTAATTTTCAACACAGTTTAGTTTCATACTGATGCTCTTAATCAAGGAACTTCTTGAAACACCAGTTAGAATTTAGACCCGATTAAGGAAGATTTTTTTATTCTAAGAATATATATATATATATATATATACACAAAAGGCTTAGCTAATACAAAAATCCAATCGTCTTTGTTAGAGGTTTATGAACACGTGCAGAAATAGTAAAATATGAAATAATTTTATTAAGAAACTTTTATGCTCTAAAGTGCGATAATTATATTTTCTATCACAAATTTCTATCCCAATGTCCCTCAGCTGCATCCCTTTTTTACAACTGTTTCACAGTTTCGAAGACTGTGTAGCTGAGGATTTCGACTGAAAAGACACTTGTTTGCCATTGACGTCTTGAGATCTAGAAAATCGAAACGGCATTTGTAATCTGATCATGCGTTTTGGGATTCTGAGTTGGGTGAGTGCCAAGAAAATGAATGCGCCCTGAAGACCGTTGAATATAATAAAGGAATACCACAAGATGTCGCTGTTCGCGTAGGCTGCGAAAAATCCAAATACCCACGTGAGTCCCATGATTAGAGCTAGTTTGATGTAAAGAATAAATCGAACCCTGTCTTTTTTTCCAGTGTTTTCATAGGCAAGTCTTGTGGTTTTGTCTGTTTGGTTTATTTTAATTGCTGTGAAGATAAAACAAGTAAGGTTTGAAATCAGCAACAATCCCAGAGGGGTTGCGAAAAAAACCAACAAAGCCACGCGATTGGAAATCCAGCAGATGCCATCACCATAGCCAGGGTATAAAGGTCCTGTCTTTGCCAAGTTAAAGAGAAGAGCTATGACAACGATAAACAAAGGTGTTAGCCAACCGTAGGCACAGTACTTCAAAAACTGATTCTTAGCATAATTACTTTTTACCAGTTTTAGAGAAGAGAAGGTCTTCCAAATATCAAAAGCAAGAACATTGACCCAAAAGAATGAAGCTAGGAAAAAGTAATGCATAGCGATGCCAACGAAGGAGCATGCCACTTGAAATTCGGTCTTATGAATGCCAAACAAAAACAGTGATTGGGCGAAGAAGAGAGAAATAGACAAAAATAGAACAATTCGTGCCGGTAATTTCTTGCCTTCAGACATAAAGAAATAACTGGATATTTTTCCAAACAAGCAAACTAAAGAAATACTTATGCAGACAACCGTGAGGTAACCATGAGTTTCATCAAATTTAAAAATGTAGTTCCTTTTGAAAATGCATATTAAAATGCTTTTGGATGTTACTGGCTCATATTCTCCCACTTCTAACCTTTTTTTAGTTGGAAGAAGAGTAACGGTATTGTTGTCGCTAACAATGAACGCATCATCAGAAACAGCGATTTTGGAGCAATTAGAATGGATAGTGCTGTTTAACCACCCCACGGAGCCTGAATGAGGTCCGAGCTTCAACTTATTATTACGATCAGATTTCGACTTCTGAAGACAAACTCCGTTTACGTTTTGAAACAAACGTCCACAGAAAACGTTGCGGCATATATTTTTCCATGGATCGTACACATGTAAACGAGGGCAACGTTCTTTTCTTCCAATAACGTTTCCTCCATGTACGAAGTCAATGTCCATAAGTAAAGAATACGAAGGCAGGAGAACTCCTTCTGTCTTTGTTGTCTTCATTAGTTCGGTTGAAGTACAGCTTAAGTGTTCTACATTGATACCGTTACAAAATGCACAATATTTATTTTTATACACCATTCTTATCCCTTTAACCGACACTTTTACAGGCGCATAGTAAGAAAGACATCTCTCATGAATTTTTGTCGTTTTACTTAAACCATCATCTTGTTGAAGTAACCACCAATTCAAACAATTAGAGATAACAGTATTGTCGCAAGATTTTAGAACTTTAAGAGCATCATCTGATAACAAAGGCGGCAAAGAAATAGCATGTGCACATCTGTGACGCTCATCAGATGTCATGTTATTGAAAGTCTCCAGAGAACAATTTATAAGGTGAGATTCCCAAATTGTGATGTTAGTGTCTTCATTACATACAGCACAGTAGATATTTTTGTAAGTGATACCAAATTCCAAGCTGGTTACTGGTATTTTCAAAAATTCATCTGGTGATTGTTGGCTTGATGATTCACATAGTAGCCGAATTTCCACATCCTTCCATTTTGAAGAACAACGAGTCATCATGTAGTAGGTTTTATACGTACGATATTTATCCATCATAGAAACACAGCTCACTCCACGTTGTTCTTCACGTAGAGTTTGCACCGGTGCATCCCAGCAACAGTCACCGTAATCTGAGCAGTCTTTTCTACATGAACAGTTAAAAATACCTTCTTTTAAATGGCGGTTTGGGAAAGAGCAGTAGTAGTGAGCAGAAGAACATTCAAGTTGAGAAGGATGAGATACGTTAAGCTGTACCATTTCGGTTGAAATAGCAGTGAAGGAGTAAAACCCAGGCAATGAAGGTACATGTGATATGAAAGGAAACAAGGGCAGATAGTGTGGACGCCCTGGTTGAGGAATAGTTACCATTTCAATTTCAGAGCTAGGAGTTTGATTTTTGTTCGGTTCGTTGCTAGGTGTAACAGTTGACAAAACTATTTTTATAACATTTCTTTTAGGAACTCTTGCTAGGTAGCTGTTATTAGCAACAAAGTCTGACTCGTTTTTTAAATTAATTGAATCTTCCTGAATAATATTACCTATTCTTTCTGTAATCGTAATATTAGTGGTTAAATCTGTTTTTTCTAAACGATTACGAAACAACATGATGCTCTTGTTTACGCTTTGGTCAGTTACGGTGCTGACATTTATGTTCGAAAATTCTGAAGCCAACTTAGAGAAATCTGTATCTTGTTTAGTGGTTTGCAAGGCATTAACTGTTTCAACAGAACTTACGGTTTCATTTAGGTTGTCTTCACCAAACTGTATTGTTGGAACCATAAGTTGTGGAAATAGAGTCTCATTCTCATACAGTGCTGTTTGAACTGTTGAAATATGTTGACCCTCAAAACATTTGACATGGTGAATAAGTAAATTGGCTATGAAAAGCGTACGAAATATCTCCAAAAACTCTGTCATTATATTCATTAAATTATTCTCTTCAAAAACGCTATTTCGTTTTCTTCAGGAAAAAAGAAGACTCTGAAACAGAAAATAAGATGTTTTATACAATCTGCCCAGAATCTCCAGTTAAATAAGTGTAAACTTAACATGGAATAAAAACAAACGGAAAACAATAAAATGAAAATCAGTACAAATATTAGTTTAATAGGAAAATATTCTCTGAACCTAATTTTAGTCTAAGCCATCCATAAAAAAAAAGAGAGGTCACTTGCTATGAGCACAATGAGCTTTTTATTTAATATATTTGTTTTCAATTCTAAGTCTTTAACATATTTTTTTCAAATTCAGCAAGAGTATTACACATTCCAAAACTACTGGTGGCATTTAGAATATTCATATATTATGTTTCACGTGTATAAGAAGTATTGTTTTAATCGGGGAAATACTTCATGATTTCAGTATATGTTCCGTTCACACATTAAGGATGGGGATTTCTTCTGCAATAACCATGTTAATCACACTTAGAAAAGATAAAATATCGAAATGATTTTATTCAAATATTCATTGAATATATCTCCCTAGTTTCTTTTCTAAATTCAAATAACGTGTATATTTTGATGAGAAAAGTATCTTTTTAGTTGAAAAATCAGCAACTATTTACATTGGACATAAAATCCAAATTAACGGTTGAATATCAAAAGACGAAACTCTGTTTATATGATACAATACTTGAATTATTATGAACTATATAAATTATATCAACGTTAAACAACTGAACGTTTTACAATATTTTAAAAATTCCATTCAAGTGAAAAGCGTCCATTTAGACATCAGAAGGAACGAGTTTCTTCTGTATAAGTTAGTAGAGTTACTGGTCTTAATGAATAATTAAGGACACGAAATGAACAACAGTCCTGTTTTTGCACGTTATCTCAAACCATTTCCTCACATTTTCTACTTCATTAAAGTTTTTCTTTTTTAACTCGTGAGTTACTTTAGTTACTTTTTATTTTTAATTAATTAATACAGATCTATTCTAACATATACTGACAGTGATAATTAAGCTCAGTGACATCCATGATTACAAGATATATTTTGTTGTTTTTCACTCATAAAACCATGAACGGTCTTTGCACATGATGGGGTTGAAACAAAAACTACAATCAATTATGAGCTTTTTCTGGAAGGTAAAAGAAAAGACAAACTATATAGATTTTATATAACTTTGTCATAGTCTGTCTAAGCACCCAGTTATAAGCTGCAATGTCTTTTACAAACAAGTTCAGATATTACTCTATAGAAAAAAAACATGTTTTATGTTATATTGTTGATAAGTAATATCCGGCACACGAAATAAGATATATAAGTGTCTAGAAGAGTAAAGATGGATAAATAACACTTAGATTTCTTAGCAGGGCGCGATAATATCAAAATACTTTTCGCAACATTCAATGACAAAATGTCGATTGAGATTATAATATGTTTAAATCGATAAAAGAATTTGAATTGATATTGATGTTAAATTTTTAACTATTTTATAAAAGTTTAGGAATTTGCTGATATTTCCTTAATCGAAACATTTTAGAATGAATGTGCTTGCATGGGTGTATTTCTATTTTTAGCGCAGAATTAAACAACGGGCTCTGTTCACCGTTGGAAATTCAGTCCCAGATTTTAGCATTTTTTGTTTGAAGTTAAGCACAAAGCTACACAATGGGCTATCTGTGGTCTGCCCACCACGGGTATCGAAACCCGGATTCTAGCGTTGTAAGTCCGCAGACATACCGCTGTGCTACTGGGGCGTGATTTTAGCATTATAATAAGTCTACAAATTACCATTGACCCATCGGAAGACTTTAGATTCAGTAGAAATTTCTGTATATATATATATATTTGGTTAGAATTACTTCATGAATTTATTTTGTTTTTAGGGCCAGGCATGACCTAGTGGTTAGTGTGTTTGGATCGTGAATCCGAAAGTTCATGGTTCGCTTCTCGTTACCGCAAAAAAAAAGTATTGGTTTCTTTGGAAGTTCGCGTAAAGCTACACGAGGGCTATCTGCTCTAGCCGTCCCTAATTTAGCAGTGAAAGACTAGAGGGAAAGCAGCTAGTCATCACCACCCAACGCCAACTATAAAATCTGAATTAGAGCTAAGGTTTAGATTTTTTGAATTACTTCTTTCAAAAGAAATGTCAAGAAAATCACATTAAAAGAAAATTAAAAATCTCAACATTTCAGTGATGTTTTATCAACAATAAAATTTGTGTGGATACATCACAAATAAATTTTCAAAAGCTCAGATCACAATGTCGCACATTTTCTTTTCTGACTCAGACAGTGTGTGTGTGTGTGTGTGTGTGCTCATGTAATGGGCATCTGAGTATTAGTACAGATGTTTATTGGGGTAACAGTTGTTTTATTTGACATATATATTTTCAGTTTGGATGACCCCTCCCAACCTGGTATGACAATCCCACCCTTGTGTGACAATATATAAATGGAGCACCATATTTTTGGGTCAATACAGCAGGTTTTATGTACTTCTGTTGCCTCTTAATAATAGTGTTGGAGTGATTTTAAGACTGTCTTGCCAAAGGTTACCATTCCTTATGTGGAGCTTTCCATAAACCGGCTCATGTCTTATGTTTGTGTCTTCCAAGCTCATGCTTAGGTAGACCAAAGGTACGAAAGCCCAGTGGAACTGCATAAGGGTCTTAGTAACCATGTGTGGTCAAACGAGATATGTTGTGATTTCCATTTCTTCGGCGATCTTTGTAATTAAAACAATCGTTGGTAGTTATTTATTAACTTGTTAATGTTAATAGGATAAAGCTTGCTCTGCTTCATCAAAGAGACTTGTTTTAGTAAAAGAGTTCTCTTTCGTAACAAAAGCCTTTATTTTGTTGATGACAGGGTTGTCCTGATTGGTTTGAGTTGTGGTTTAGAAGTCTATTGATGTCCTAAACGCTTATCTATGCAAGTTTCTTACTTCCATGAAGAATATGGAAGAATTTCTTCTTCCAAGTATTTGGTTCTTTGGATTTATGTCGTTTAACAACTTCATTGTTTCAATATTTCTATTTGGAGGTATTTTGTAAGCATGATCAGTATGGTTCGCTTTAGGAATGTGTAACAGGAGTCTGTCTATGACAAAACTATAGTTGTATAACCATCCCAATATTCGCAAAAAATGTAGCTAATTTACACATTTTTCCATAATCTGTAAAACTCTCTGTAACTGTTGTTGATATTTTCTTGAAGAGAAAACACAGTTTCTTCAAAATCTATATTTGAACGTTTTAAAACATTGCTTTGTTATAAGCAAAGCTGCACAGTGTCTTGGAGATCAGATTTCGAATTATAGCGTTGCAAGCCCTCAAACTTATCTGTGAGCCCTAGGGAAAAGTTTCGCATCATAAATAAAACTGAAGCAATGAGCTACGTATATAAAGGAACGACATCTAAAATTTTAAGGTATCTCTCTCTATATATATAAAAGAATAGGCTCATTTTTTCGTCACATAGAAGTGGTCACTCTTTGAATGTGTTCTATGGCTTGTGGAACATTTTTTGAATTTTTTAATCACCTTTTATTGTTTAGAAGTGTATACTTAGTTCAAAGGTACAATGAGTTACGTCGAATAATTTACGATATTTATCAGTTATACACATTAAGTCAGAAATTTAATTTGTTATTGACACGTGTTAGTCTTAAAACGTTTTTTCAGCATACTCTTAATCAAGAAAATATTTTCTCATGGTGCATTCTAGACTTTTCAGTCCTCAAGATCCTGTATCAGCAGAAAAAATCTTTGATAACAAGGTTTATATATATATTATTGCATAAATTAATTTGAATTAAGATCACTTATTTGCAGTAAAATAGTTTGATAAATTTTATTCCTAGTGTTGTCTTTATTTATTTTTGTAGGAAATTCTCTTTATCACATCCAATGGCTTATCTGTAATCACTAATATAAATTCAATATTCATGGGGAACGACTACTTATTTAACTACGGCCCGGCATGGCCAGGTGGTTAGGGTACTCTACTCGCAATCTGAGGGTCGCGGTTCGAATCTCCGTCCCGCTCTTTCAGCCGTGAGGGCGTTATAATGTGACGGTCAATCCCACTATTCGTTGGTAAAAGGGTAGCCCAAGAGATGGCGGTGGGTGGTGATGACTAGCTGCCTTCCCTCTAGTCTTATACTGCTAAATTAGGGACGGCTAGCGCAGATAGCCCTCGTGTAGTTTTGCGCAAAATTCAAAACAAACAAACTTATCTAACTATCGGTATTGGAACTAAAACATCCAAATTGTTCCTGTTTTCTGTTTGAATTTTAGATTCACCCCACTTCTATATTTCGAATATAGAGATCAATTATATAGATGACGCACCACCACTGTTGTTTAGATCCTATTTTCTCAGATATGTTTCCTACTAGGACATCATTTTAGTCCAGTCCGTATATTGCTTTATAGTGTTCTGTGTGTTTCGTATGTTTGCTACACTAAATATTTCTCAACCCCGTTTCATAATATATATGCATTATGAGTTGCTAAAATTCACATTATGATGTCTGCATTGATGAATGCATATATGTTTATATAATATTTTGAATCTCTCATTTTTATATATTCAATCGAAAGATACAACTGAGACGACACGATACTTTAGACTATTTTAGTAATCGAGTGTAAAGAACAAACCGTTCGTTAACTCGAACATTAGACGATGTAAACATAATACCCATTTGCAACGTGTATCAGAATACCCACGCTGTAGATCCTAAAACGACAAAAAGCTAAAGTGTCTGGTTTCGTCGATGTTTCTGTAGCATGTCGACCCTTTCTCGGTGTAATATTACCTCCTTCACATGACAAGGGGAAACATCAATACATATCTTACAACCGTAAAGGAACAAGAACAAATATTTAATAAGGAGATAGAAACACACACACACACACACACACACATACAAGCTGTTTGATCGATTGTAGCCTGGTGTCCGTAAAAGCTCTGGTACATCTATGGTGGGTAATTAACAGATGTCGAATAGCGTGATTGACAATCATTGTTAAGATTTTAAGCCGAAATAAATTATATTCGAACATAAAAACGTATAAACAATAGAAGAAATGGTTTGAAAATATAACATGCTCTTAGTTAGTGGATTATATCATTACTATGGTTAAAAACATCAGTAATGTAACGTGTATATAGAAAGTTGTTTTGATTTGTTATCAATTTCGCACAAAGCTACTCGAGGGCTAAATGCGCTAGTTGTCCCTAAATTAGCAGTGATAGACTAGAGGAAGGCATTTAGTCAACACCACTTACAGCCAACTCTTGAGCTAGTCTTTTACAAACGAATAATGAGATTGGCCGTGACATTATATCGCTGCCACGGCTGAAAGGACGACTATGTTCGATGATGGGGATTCGAACCCGGGACCCACAGATTACGAGTCGAGCACCCTAATCACCAGGCCATAAAATAAAGATCAAATTAATTAAATTTCACCTTGTTATAAAAATGCTCCGATCTTAAACACGTTTATTTTTTCATACAAAATATGGGAGGTGTATTTCCGGGAAGCCCACTGATAGGGACACGGTTTGGCCTTGTGGTAAAGTTCTGGATTACGGAACTGATGAGCCGGATTCGAATTCGTGCGAAGCCACAATATATTCCTAGCACTTTAAGCTTTGAGTGCGTTATAAGTGTGACCCCGCAGATTGAACAGTGGGTGATGGAGTGTTGTTGACTGGCTTCCTTTACTCTGGTTAGTGATTTGATATAGGGACAGCGATAGATATAGGCGTAGTAGTTTATCATAAATACAAAAATTGATAGATTGCATATTGAACTGCGTAACGTATTTTATTACACCAGATTATTTAGTTTTATTCAGCCACAACGACGAAGGTAATTTTCTAGGAAGCTGTTGCATGGCCCAAAAATGGGTTAAAGAATGTAATATAGAAAAGGTGCTTATTTTTGATAAATATCTAATATCTCAATGATGACGACGTCATTTAAATGGTTTCTGATATAAAGTTGATCTTATAAGTATTTATAAACGACTATAATTATACGTTCATGGAATAAATTATAATTATACCTCACTTCAACTGGAAGTTTATAGAAAATGAACATTTCCCGCAGTGTTGAAACGAAATGATTATCCTTATAATGCCGTTTCGGTTCGTTTATCACACTGTGACATACAGTTTGGCTGCACTTCAACGTTACTTCAAAACGTATAAGCTTCTTTGTATATTACTGTGTTATATTAAATGTCCCGGTATAATATTTCGCTATTAATGATTTCGAAATAAACATTTAAGTGTTAAGTTTGTTTGTAATTAAGCACAAAGCTACACAATGGGCTACCTGTGCTTTGCCCACCACGGGTATCGAAACCCGGATTCTAGCGTTATAAGTCCGCAGACATACAGCTGTGCCACTGAGGAGCAAGGTGTTAAGAGTACAATAAGATAAACGGTAAAGTGTAGGCCATTTCAAATCTGTATGATTTTTCTGTTACCTCATTTGACTGCCTGAAGTGTTGTAAAAGATAAATCATAGAAACATCGAAACATATAAATCATAGACAGGAGTATATATTGTGGCTCGTGAAGTTTTACTTTCAAACATCTTTTCTTTGGTAGAGTCACTTATGGGCTAACAAATATGTTATTTTTTAAATACTTCACACCAGTCATTAACACAGTGCTACTTACCAGTCTATACTGCCGAGTAGTGTTTCAATCTTCCAAACCAGTTCTCTTGTAAAGGTTCTAGGAGGAACTGTTGCTTCCATTTATACCTGATAGAGTATGAACATGCGCCAAGCTCGTGACGGACTTAATCTTCACTCATCTTTCTGCGCCCATGCGCGGATTGTTCCAATTTCTGGGCTTCTGTTGCGTATATTTTATGATTTTTTTTCTGTTAAATAATACGTCATTACCATGATTCACTACGACAGTATTAGAAGACGTTTACGCTCTTATTAAAAATACTTGATCACGTGTATGTGTGTTTGTGTGGATTTCTTATTCATCGAGAACTTTTATTGAAGTTTTTGTAATTAGAATGGTTCTCATTCTGTCGGACATTTTTTTTTGTTGGCCATATTTGTTTTAGACTAGGCTAGAATTTTGTTTGTTGTTAAGCTCAAAAGTACACAATGGGCTGTCTGCGGTCTTCCCACCGAACTATCGAAACCCGATTTTTAGTATTATAAGCCCCCACATATATCGGGGATCTATATTAGAATACTATCAATCTGGTAATACTGCATGTTTAACATGCTTCGAATTCAGATGTTCATGACTAGGAAGAGAATAAATAGTTTAGCTGAAGTGACTATTGTAAATAGTCTATTTAACAACTGCCATGTATATAGCTATTTCAAGTTTATTGTTCAACCACGGCGCTGAATCATGTAAGAATGCTACAAAATGCTTGAATATGTAATAGTAGGCATTTCAAGATGCTTGAATATGCAATAGTAGGCATTTCAAAATACTTGAATATGTAATAGTGGGCATTTCAAAAATGCTTGAATATGTAATAGTAGGCATTTCAAGATGCTTGAATATGCAATAGTAGGCATTTCAAAATACTTGAATATGTAATAGTGGGCATTTCAAAAATGCTTGAATATGTAATAGTAGGCATTTCAAAATGCTTGAATATGTAATAGTAAGCATTTCAAAATGCTTGAATATGTAATAGTA